TTTTAAAAGAAAAAAAAAAAAAAATCCACCTAAAAGAAGTGTTCCTGTATCAAGGAAATGGTCACTCCAGGGACAAAAAGTTGATATTTACAACAAGATCTTGTATGTGTAATTAAACCCTATGTTTTTCCAGGTCACGATCTCCCAGGCGCTTTGGGGGTGGAGGTCGTGGTGGTGGACGCTCACGCTCTCGCTCTCCTCGCAGGTCCCGTTCCCGCTCTCCAAGGTATATATCATTTAAGCTTAATGACTGGGATGTTGTTGATGTTGACAGTTCACATGATTACGCTTGAGATTTGGAGTTACTTTTTCATCTGTGTGCTGTTAAGAATCAGGAATTTTATAAGGGTGTTTAGATATATTACTGATATATTGGACAATTGTTTCATGAAGATTGATAACACTGTATTAATTTTATTTGACTGTTACATAAACAGTAACTTTTGTTAGGATTCAAATTTTTTTAAAAATAACTTCTGCTAATTATGGCATGGAGTAATTCAACAAGAACTTACATAATGATCCAGAACATTTCTGAAGTCCATATAGGTCAGAGTAGAAGTTACAGGGTTGGGGTTGCTTTCACTTGTGAGTGCATTAGGCATAACAATAACTGAAATTACCAATATTTGTATGTTCTTAACTATAAAAGCTATTGGTGAAAAAGATAAGAGAAGTAAGCTTACACAATGATGAATTACATTTTAAGTAAAAATAAATTTCATAAATTGTCAACTATTGGATACTAGGTATTCTTTGGTTACCACAACAGATTTTTCATGTATAATTTTCTTCTATTCTCAGTGACCATGAATATGAGGCAAGGTAATGTTTCTGGATTATTATGTTATTATTCATTAGTTGCATCATTCGCTTAGATTTATTTTTTCATAAAGAAAGTAAATAATCATGAATTACTTGCATATCATTTAAATGATTTCATGGTTTAGTATTAGCCAGAGAATGTTTTTGCATTTAATTTTAAGTAGTGAATTTATGCATGCTGCTGTTATATTTCTTATATTTTGTTTTTCAAGAGAAAAAGCTTGCTTTTCTAGTTCTATCAAAATAAATAGGAACCCCAGTGTTTTACAGACATAAAGGTTCAATGCACATAGTAGGTGTAGGGTAGGAATTGGGAAATCTGTGAAGGCAGGAAAAGGTGACTGGAATATGTAGGGTTTTGTACCTCCTGCATTTCTTTATATTCTGCCATCTACTTTCTTAGAATTCTCTGTGGTACTCTCTCTCTTTGTGGCTCTTTCTTTCTCTCTCTTTGTAACTATTTCTCTTTCTCTCTCTCTCTCTTTGTGGCTCTTTCTCTCTCTCTATCTTTGTGGCTCTTTCTCCCTCTCTATTTTTGGCTCTTTCTCCTTCTCTATCTTTGTGGCTCTTTCTCCCTCTCTATCTTTGTGGCTCTTTCTCTCTCTCTATCTTTGTGGCTCTTTCTCTCTCTCTATCTTTGTGGCTCTTTCTCTCTCTCTATCTTTGTGGCTCTTTCTCTCTCTCTATCTTTGTGGCTCTTTCTCTCTCTATCTTTGTGGCTCTTTCTCTCTCTCTATCTTGTGGCTCTTTCTCTCTCTCTCTATCTTTGTGGCTCTTTCTCTCTCTCTCTATCTTTGTGGCTCTTTCTCTCTCTATCTTTGTGGCTCTTTCTCTCTCTCTATCTTTGTGGCTCTTTCTCTCTCTCTCTCTATCTTTGTGGCTCTTTCTCTCTCTCTCTATCTTTGTGGCTCTTTCTCTCTCTCTATCTTTGTGGCTCTTTCTCTCTCTCTCTATCTATCTTTGTGGCTCTTTCTCTCTCTCTCTATCTTTGTGGCTCTTTCTCTCTCTCTATCTTTGTGGCTCTTTTCTCTCTCTATCTTTGTGGCTCTTTCTCTCTCTCTATCTTTGTGGCTCTTTCTCTCTCTCTCTATCTTTGTGGCTCTTTCTCTCTCTCTCCATCTTTGTGGCTCTTTCTCTCTCTCTCTATCTTTGTGGCTCTTTCTCTCTCTAGATTTGTGGCTCTTTCTCTCTCTCTGGCTCTTTCTCTCTCTCTCTCTCTGGCTCTTTCTCTCTCTCTCTCTCTGGCTCTTTCTCTCTCTCTCTCTCTGGCTCTTTCTCTCTCTCTCTCTCTGGCTCTTTCTCTCTCTTCTCTCTGGCTCTCTCTCTCTCCTCTCTTCTCTCTCTCTCTCTCTCTCTCTCTCTCTCTCTCTTTGTGGCTCTCTCTCTCTCTCTCTCTCTCTTTGTGGCTCTCTCTCTCTCTCTCTCTTTGTGGCTCTCTCTCTCTCTTCTCTTTGTGGCTCTCTCTCTCTCTCTCTCTTGTGGCTCTCTCTCTCTCTCTCTTTGTGGCTCTCTCTCTCTCTCTCTTTGTGGCTCTCTCTCTCTCTCTCTCTGTGGCTCTCACTCTCTCTCTCTCTCTGTGGCTCTCTCTCTCTCTCTCTCTCTCTCTCTCTCTCTCTCTCTCTCTCTCTCTCTCTCTCTTCTTCTCTCTCTCTTCTCTCTCTCTCTCTCCTCTCTC